CCCCCATTCCGCTCCTGTCTTTATTGTTTCCAATTAAAAACAGATTATTTTTAAACGTTTTATAACAACAGACCAAACTCTTCCACGTCCTGGTACCTACAATGCCTCAGTAACGTTTGTTCCCTTTATCCCTATCCTCCTACTTTTCAGGTGTACCACTCATCCCCGTCATCATCATCCTCTCTGTCGATGCTGAGCTCTACAAAGGAGGAAAGGACTAGTAAGTAGCAAATGTGCTATTGTGGGAAAAGCCACTCTGAAGTAACGAAACGTTTTAAATGTTCTACATATCTTTCAACATTTATGAGATTATTCTAAGCTGGTTCTTGTCAACCTTTCAATAACTAGCACCCACTTTGCCACCTCTAATTAATGGTTAACATTTTCGTGCTACCCACCTAGCTACATATTATTTTTACTAGCGAGGTGTTAAATAAAACCTGTCACAAGCCAGATGACCACCATCAGCCACCAAAATTACCAAATTACCCCCTGGTTGGCGATATCACCTAGGTTGGAAAGCATTCTTTTAACTCTTTGAAGACGTGCGTTTTGATCATTCGACAAACCATGAAGATCGCTGTTTTGGGGCGTTACAACAGTAGCATCATTATTCATTTATATTTTTCGAATGTGTTTTCTTATTTGAAATTTAAAGAGCAGTGCAACAATATTATGCAAACAATGAACTGTGCAAATTGGGGTTTCTGATTTTTGTATAATGGTTCGAAATGTGCCGATACATTGTCTTTGTTCGAGTTAAACCATAACAATACCATCCTGGGGAGGTGCTACTGACTGAAGTGTCTTTAGACCATTCCCAAAGAGGAGATATTAACCATGTTCTTATGCACAGTAGAATTGTAATTGAAAATGGGCTGATTCATCAATGTCGTGCTCATAAATGTGCCTGAACTGCAAAAGGGAATTGCCGCTTTTTCTTTCATAATCTTTACTATCGTCATTTTCCTCTACTTTTTTGTATGTTTATCATACTCTTGTGACCCGTTCCGGAATGCCTTGATAGTCGAAGCAGACTTTGTGCTGTTGAAGCTAGAGAGGTGAGCAGAGTAAGTCTGATTCCCTGTAAGGACTTCTCTGTTGACATCCACTGTTTGGCGCTGATATGGCCTCATCCAGTTGTGAGCACCATAAAACCTCTACTAAAACGAACAAACAAACAAATCATGACAATGTTGTTTTCCCCACCGTTACTGCCACTGCTGGTTGGTTTATTGGGGATTCATTGTTCTTGGTCTTGATATTGTTTTGCTGTTGTTGTTTTTTGTTGATGAAGTTGTTGCTGTTGCTGCCCTTGTGGTCGTTTCTGTTATTGCTGCTATCACTAGTCCTACTACTACTACCACTACTACTACTACTACTACTACTACTACTACTACTACTACTACTACTACTACAACTACTAGTTGAAAATTAAAGTCTTTCTTGTTGGTTTTCTTTGTGTAGTTGTCGTGATGTTAGTGGTGAAGTTGATTGTAATGGTAGCGATGATCGTCATAGTTTTACATATACCTTGTATATATAAGTTCATATTTCAGACACAATAAATTATACAACGATGGTGGTGATCTGTAATACTCCCGATGAAGCCCGAAAGGGCAAAACGTTAAATTCAGTACGTGTACTAAAAATTATGTCTAGACTCTATCCTAGTCTCCACGTGTTTTTCTAAAGTACAAAAAAAAAATGATGATGATGATGATGATGATGATGATGATAATGGTGATGATGATGATGATGATGATGATGATGATGGTGATGATGTTGATGATGATGATGATGATGATGATGATGATGATGATGATGATGATGATGATGATGATGATTACTACGATAGCAGCAATGGTAGACGACAACACCAACAATACCCTTTTTTGTTACCAGTTGTTGGATGTCTTTGGACGCGTTCTACTACGGCTTCGCTCTCCCTGTGGGCCTCATCATCCTGGCCAACCTGATCATTTTCGTGATGGTTGTGGTCAGTCTATGCCGCCGCAAGGACATGAGCAAACACTCGTCTCAGAGCACCAGCCAGACAGTGGTCAACATCAGGGCTTCGTTCATCTGCTTCTGCGTGCTTGGTAGGCTAAGGATTTTGCTCTAAAATTAATTAATTTCATTTTGTACTAGCAGTATACAGTCGAATCTGCTTTAACAACCGTCTGTCCAAGATAAACACCCACACAAATGATTACTTCCCACCCCAACCCCACCCCCTTTGTGTTTTGATATTAAATGTCCAAGAAGACTGCCTGCCTAAGATTACCTCTTTTCTTCTGAAGAATGAAAATGAGTGGTCGTGTTGAACACGTTCAAGTGTAAATATTTTCTATCCTATGTAATTATGTATTTTGTAAGTTAGAGGCAGGATTTTTTAGATTCCTTTTCAAGCCACTATCGTGGCCGTAATCTATTTTTTCTCGAGGGGGGAAGAAACTTTGAGGGGATTTCCACTCTTGGCAGAATCATAATGTGAAACGGACAACGGACAATTCAAACTGCACTTTAAGTTGCTTATTAATTTACCTGAGATGAACAGAATTGGGGGGGGGGGGGGCATAATGTACTTTCTCGCTGTCGGATGAACCATATTGTGCAACAGACATGTTAATTGTGCTTAGATCATTGGGGGGGGGGGTAGTAAAAGCATCGGAGGGCATGTTAAGTTTTTTCCCCTTGGAGGGTTAACCAATCATTTGTCTAGGAAAAAATTCAACCGCCCCTCAAGTGATTTTTTTGTTTTTCGCTCCTCTTCCGAGCCACCAGTCTGGAGAGACTGTTTGCGTACATTAGGCAAAAAAAATAGCCGCAGAGTCCTCGAGAACCGAAAATTTATCTACCTATTCTGCATCACCGCCTCTCTACAGGGCTTTGTCATCTTTCTCATGATGACAGCCCGAGACAAGAACGTGCGACAGTTTTGGAAATCCAAATTCTGTGGCGATAGAGAGAAGAAGGACAGCTCTTACACATGGGACAACAAATCAGGTGTGGAGATGGTCTCAGGAGTGAGGGTGGGGGTGTGGCTAGGGAGGAGGGGGCGTGGGCCAGCCATAGGCGTGGTGCTGTGTAGGAGGTTGCTATCTGGGTTCTGGGGGGGGGGGAGAGACAGAGAGACAGGGAGAAACACAGAGAGAGAGAGAGAGAGAGAGAGAGAGAGAGAGAGAGAGAGAGAGAGAGAGAGATTCAAAGACAGGAAGAGAGCGAAGAATAAAGAGAGGAAGGGCTAGGGAGGAGGCACAGGGAGACAGAAAGAGACATAGACAGAAGAGAAAAAGAGTGACAGAGAGAAAGAGAGAGACAGAAAGAGAAATAGATATGGAGAGGGAGAGAGAAATGAGGGTGTGCATACGCGCCCGCGCGCGCACACTGTGTATGTGTATGTATGCATATGCGTATATGTGTATGTGTGTGTGTGTGTGTGTGTGTGTGTGTGTGTGTGTGTGTGTGTGTGCGCGTGGGGAGAGAGAGAGAGTGAGTGCGTGTATATGTGTGTATGTATGAAAGAGAGAGAGAGAGAGAGAGAGAGAGAGAGAGAGAGAGAGAGAGAGAGAGAGAGAGAGGTGGGGAGAGGAGGGGGAGGCGGGAGAGGAGAGAAAGAGAGAATAAGATAACGGGAGGGAGACAGACAAACAGAAAGGAAAAGAAAGAGAGAGAGAGAGAGAGAGAGAGAGAGAGAGAGAGAGAGAGAGAGAGAGAGAGAGAGAGAGAGAGAGAAGAAAAACGAAACTTTAATTATTTCTCCTTTTCTATACCAGGTACTGGCAGCAACAGTCAGCCCGTCCGAATTCCTCGTCTTCAGAGCGAATTCGCGAATGCGCGGTCACGCACGGACAGCACGACATTTACAGGAAGTGACGACGGCGGAAATGGATATTACGGCGGAAGCGGGGGTAGGTTTAGTGTGTCTGATGACGGCAGACGTGGATCCAACCAATCAAACAATGGGCCCCTTAAGCCGAGGGGTTACGGGAAGAACGAAATGGTGTTATTCTAATCCTAACTGTTACATATTGTACTTGTACATACACGTGATTAATGTTGCATGATTTATACTTACTGTACTGATATCTTGAAACGTTATAGTTGGCTGAGAGTCCAACTGAAAGCATGATTACCCAATTGTTATTATTGAAGTTTTCCTTTTGTAAATTGTTCTTGGATACATATTCTATATAGGGAGGGTGCCATGACAAAGCACTCTATATTCATGTTTCTTGAAATGGGAAATATGAAAAATAAATATTTTAAAAATCCATTCGAATCAAATATATAGGCCCACAAATTATTGAAAACCGATTTTGTTCTCCTTTTTATTTGTCAAAATGGCGTATATCCTTTGGGGGTTTTTTGTCAACACGCAAAGCATTCGTAAAATTCAAATATATAATTTTCAATTTTAAACGTGTATTATTGTGGTCAAGTTTAAAACAGCAATATTAACGTATCTGAATCTTGTTATGTTCATTGTGAAAGTTTAGTAAGATTTAGAAAGGATGGCTGGAGGCATTTTTCTGCCTTTCTAGTAAATAGATACGGGCTGATTGATTGCTTTGTTTGTGTGTGTATGTGTGTTTGTGTGTGTGTGTGTGTGTGTGTGTGTGTGTGTGTGTGTGTGTGTGTGTGTGTGTGTGTGTGTGTGTGTGTCTGTGTGTGTCTGTGTGTGTCTGAGTGTGTGAATGTGGTGAGTAACGCGTTTTCTCACGAAACCCTTCATATATAACAATATAGTATGCACGTGTATACTTTTTTTTTGGGGGGGGGGGAGGGCGGGTGTTGTTGTTTTGTCAAAACACGAAAAACAGCTCATTTGAAAGAACAAAACGAGGGTATGGTTTTTTGTTAACTTGAATTTCGACATTTTGGTCAAGTTCAAAATCGACTGAGTCATTGACAACCATTTTTAAAATCAATATTCTCTTTTGTCTTTGTCGCCTTGGCTGCAAAGACAGTTGCTCGCCAACTAATATTCGCTGTCACTATTGTTTTTTTCTTTACCCATGAAATTACCATCTGTAGTTAACTGGGAAAAGAGAGCAAAATTGTTTAGTCGTGGTGCCTGTGAAGATACACATTTCCCTTAATGACATTTAAAATACTTAGCCTATTGAGAGGCAGTAGTCAATTTCTAACGTCTGTCTTCAAAAGGAGCAAGCCTGTGTTAGGAGATTCAAGAAATCCTTGACAAAGTGTTTTGAGAATATGAGAGAATATAGAGACCTACGGACCATTATTGCATTACTGGAGCCAAAACCTCAACAATTATAGTGGATACCTTTGCGCACGGCGCCTAGAATTATATAATGTTTATCTGACGACCGAGCATGGTAAATGCTGTTCTTATCCTCATCCTCAGTACCTTTCTCATCCTGGATTAGGACATAGGTCACGAACAAACACTTCCCTCCTCTCCCTATCGTGGGCTAGCCCCCTTGATGTTATTCCAGGTCTTCCTACTTTTCTGTACATCAATTTCTGCGACTCTTCTTCATGTATGTTCCACGTGGTCTTCCCCTTGATCTTTTACCCTGTTGGTTCCAATACAACACTTTCCTTGTTATACAACCGCTGCTTGACTTCATGAGAGTATGTCCAATCCACTGCCACCGCCTTCTCCCCACCTCATCTCAGGCTGTCTTGTTCTCTTCAATACTTCCTCGTTGGTGACCCTGGCTGTCTATCTGATCCTCAGTAGCTTCCTAAGCCACTTGTTCAAGAAAACCTAGATCCTCTATATATTATGCAAGTCTGAGATGCCTGCCATGTCACACATTATCCATACCACATGCTAACTGGGTTTACAGTTTATTGCTTTCATTTATTTTATTGCTCAAAACTGCGATGGCCGCGATTTAACCGTTAAGCGATTGGCTGTCTCACGCAGAAGAGCTACGTTCGATGCCCATGTGGGGATTATAATTTTTATTGAGTAGCTCTTTCTTCTTGGTCGTTATAACCTTAATAGCCCTTGTTTACTTGAGGAGCAGGATTTAAACAGCCCACCTCCTCCTAAATGATTTAGATAGTGTCGATGGCGGTGCAAAACTTCTACAGTTATATCTGTTATTTATTGCTCAAAGGACTTCATGCTTGATATTACTATTCGTGGGTCTTTGGCGGATTTTTTTTCATTGAGAAGACTCAAAGGTAGGACAAGGACTGTCTTAAAGAGTGTGCAAACATAGCTAGAACTAACATAATTTGAATCCGGAGATATGTTTCAGTAACCGCTGTTTGGCATGCCGTTTGTTATTGGTTTTGTTTTTAAGGGGGCGGGGAAATCCTAAATGGTGACAAGCTATGATTCTTTTCTCTCTTCGCTGACAACACAGTATTGAGCACATTTTCTGTAACCAAATATGTCAAGATGCTCTGTAACTATTACATATTAGATTGAAAGGGTCATAATATATAGGAGGATCTAAGTGGCAAAATCTTGCTAAAAATGGAGTTTATAGTATGAAGACATGATGTGTCAGGGGGAGGTTATACAACACTCACTGATACTTGGATACCTCCTGCAGGGAGATGAAAAGCCATTTTGTTTTGGATGTAATGATGAGGTCACAATCAGGCACTTCCTAATAGAATGTCCAGACTTTGGACATATAATATACAGACTTCAACATAGGTTTAGGACGACCATGACAGACAGCCCTCATTTTTTTTAAATCTGAAAAAAAACAAAAACAACAACAATGATTGTTTCAAAATGTTTTCCTCTGAAAGTGTTAATCGGTTACCAACGCGTACTGCAAAGCTTCCTTAAGGACCAAAATCGGCACGTGCAGCACGGTTTTATTGACTTGTGTGCGACATCATGGACATTCCCTAGTTAAAATGTCTGATGCACGTCATAAACGGACGTACGGTCTCGAACTGTGTTCACTTTGGTGGCAATATAAACCGCCGTTTGCGCAAAATCCAGTATGGCCTGAACATGTCACCAACACGAAAGCTGAGAGACTTTGACCTTGCCAGACGCTGCAGGATGAAGTTGGAGCCCGAGAAGTTGCCAGAAGTCTTGCAGTGTCATACTCTGTCATTGTTCACTGGAAGCAGTGCTATCAAGCCACTGGATCAGTCTGAGAACGCCCACGTAAAGATCGACACAAGAAGACCACTCAGAGTGCTTGCAAGTGGTCCTTAATTTATATTGAAGACTGTATATATATTTTTTTATGCACTAATTTGAAGAATGCGTTCTCCATCATAGATCCAAACAAGATTCTATTCCAAAATGTAGTTAGTACTATATTTTTAAGAGCAAATGACTGTTTTTACTCTTTGGTTCTTACCATGACTTGCAAACGTCAATCATGAAGTAAAATCCAAGCCGTTGATTGACGTGAAAACAACCAACTTCAGTTCCGCGTGCTCATTATGATAATATGATAACGTTATGTGCAGTTGCGAGTGCCGTAAAACTCGTTCCAAACTGAAACATAGCTGCATCTTTCTCAAAACAACCTCAAGGTGACTTAGATCCTGTATTTTTGTGACCCTTCATCAACAAGATTACTCTTCCGGGCGTTTATGTGACTCTGAGCAGGATTGTGCTAGTGTCGATTGATTGTGTGTGTACATAAATGTATTTAATTTTTTATTATTATTATTGTTATAGTAATATTGATACACGTGTATACGTCTATTTGTTCACTGTTTCTTTCTATGTTCTGATGCCACCACACCACCATCCTTGATCCCCTTGTTTGATATTATTTATCTCAAAGTTCTGCCGCAGGACACGAAATCATTTGGTTTGTTTGTTATTGTTGTTGGGGGGGGGGGTGTTTTTGTTTTGTTTTTGTTTCTTTTTGGTTGTTGTTGGTTGTTATGGTTTTCTGGAGGTTGTCTGTGAGTAATTTGTTGTTATTGTTTGTTTAGGGGGGTCCTCTTTTTTTTTTGGGGGGGGGGGTGTCAGTTTTGAAAGTGGAGAATGGGGGTTTGTGTGTGTATTGTTGACGGAGGGGGGGGGGGGACAGAAATTTGTTGGGAATAGCTTTTGGAATGCCTGGAGTACAATGGTCGTCTTCTGTTATTTGTCCACGAGCAGGCGGAGAAACCCCTCCACTGCTGGAGTAGTGGGTGGTTGGCGGGTGCTCTGGTGAGGTTTGCTCCTTTTTTTCTATCAACCATCTATCGTCCTTATCCCTCCTCCATCTGTTTGGTCTTTCTTACACTTTTATAACATTTCTAATCTTCGGCACATATATGACATTATTGAGTTGCAAGTGTTGAAAGACGTCTACTAAAATTTAATTTTAACATGTTATGTTCTATAGTTAAGCATATACAGTTTTATTATCATTAACATCTAAGCTCAGCAAACGCAAATGTATAGCCTCCATGTTTGATTCATTATTGTTATATCACCCCTGTATTCTTTCCTTCGTTCCTTCCTCTTGCAACAGGGCGCGCGTCTCTCTTTTGACATGACCTATTCGCGTAATTTTATAATAGACCCAATATACATGTATTATTATAGTGGTGCAATAAACAATACAAAATACAAAAAAGGCGTAAGATTAATCTCATTATGTTTTGCCCCCCCCCCCCCTCATATTTTGCTCAGCTTGGTTAGATCTTGATAGAAAATACACGGACCGACGACTATGGTGCAGCGGTTAATTTGAGGAGACGTACACTCCCGGAAAAAATTTCTAAACGAATGACTTTTATTCACTTTCATGTCATTGCGCAAGAAGTTCATAGGTAAACAGGATGTACTAAGGGTGAATTTGTTGATTTTTTTTCTGAAAAATGGGTCTTTGTGGCGGCCATCTTGGATTTTCAAACCAGTTTCTTAGTGCGAAAGAATTTCATAGTAAATATTGAATTATCAGCCAGAAATTTGGAACGCAAATACGAACCAATATGGACTGCCATGGGGATCCATGTGAGCTTTTTGACCTATCTTTAAAACTAAAAAAGTGAGCCCAAAGTCAATGGACCCCGGAGAGTCAGTTGACGAAATTTTGGGGTACATATTACAAAAAAACCTGAATATTTCCACAAGTTACCAATATTTCCCAATTCCCTCACACAGATCCCCGGAATAGATCTTAAAACACATGTACGCAAAATGTGAAGCTTCTAGCTTCGGTAGTTTCTGAAAACTCCTTGCACCAAGGAGGTCACATATATCAAAAAGAAGATTTTTAGAAAAATTGAAAAAACAACTATTTTTTAAGGATTTTTAGTGTAATTTGCACTTTTCAAATGCCCTTTTAGGCCATTTAGGGTGGGGGGGGGGGTTCAACAGTTTCGTCATTGTGACCCAATAGAACAGATGTCAAAGGAAGTTTTTCCGCAAAAAAAAACAAAGTTGGATAGTTTGAAAAAATTGTATCAATAATGTCAGGGATCGCCGACCCGGGTCTTCCCACAGGGCGCCCACTACGGATGGGACCGGCCAGCGGTCGCCTCAAAAACAAACGTGTTTGTTTTCAGTTTCGGGCGATCGGTCTGATCCAGCTGTAGTGGGCACCCCATACTAGACGCTTTGCCATCGCACGCACAGAACCTGCAGTTCGATTCCCGTGTGGGGAGAATTCGTATCGAGTATATCGGTCTTTCTGCTGGTATGTTGTACCATTCTGAGCCCATGTTGGTCTTGGCAGGCAGGTCCGAAGCCGCCTCCCAAATGATCTAAATTGTGTCAATTGATATGGGCATAAAAGCACCTAGGTTTGAACTCACAAACAAAAATGAAATAAATAAATAAATAATACAAAAGGTAAGCCTTTCTCCTCCCCCCCCCCCCCCCCCCCCCCACCGTTCCAACCCTACATTATTTAGCTCAACTTTGTTATACATGTATCTTGATAGAAATCCTGCTTTATCGTCTGAAATGGAGAACCAACAAAAACATGAGAGACTGCCCTGTAGGTATTCAGACAGGGTAAGTTGCTCCGTCGTAGTACATTCCATTCTTTTCCTCTTTTTAAATAGTATCCTTGATTGTTTCATGTTATCTGTCATTGAGATTATTTTGCTAATGCGTTGAATGAATGGATGGATTGAAATAAACGCATACAAATGCATGTATTTTACAGTGATTGCATGGTACTTAATTCATTTTCTTGTTTATTTTTGCACTAAAATCTGTTGATGGAATTTATAGTTATGAAAATATTATTCTAGCATCTGCGTTTGTTGCCATTTTTTGTCCAAAAGTTGCCACAAAATTGGCAAAAGTCGCCACAAAAGCTGCCATTAATTTTCAAGCTTTCAACTCTCTGTGACGATATGCTAAGCAATACGTTGATAGAGGCAACTTAATCTAAAGTACCAGAATTTCTTGTGCTCTGTTTCAAGCTTCTTGAATATCATTTGAAGCCACACAGAGTGTAAAAACGTGAAAAATAAAGGTTTCACAACAGAATGAAACCAAAATTAGAACAGCACATAAACAACCACAAAAACTAACAAGTATTAGTATAAAGGCGTGCGTCCATATATCCGAAGATTAACCGTTTTAACCCTAAACGTGCGTAATTCAAGAAAAAGTAGGCCTACCGGATAATACGTCTAAATTATGGAATTACACAACACATAAGGGGCGTGTGTCTGTATACATGTGTTCGGTTTTGGTGGAGACACTCTCTTACATAACACATTTTTATAATACATTTAAAAAGGTAGGCACAACATCAAAATAAATTACATTTACGCTATAATATAATATAACAAATATAATATAACACAAAAATAGAAAAACATCACATCAGAAGAATAACAAGAAAAAACACAAACACACCAACAAAGTGAAACAAAACAAAGAGGAAAAAATAAAAGAGAAAAAGTAATATAAGCCATATAAAATCTTAAATTATGTAATGTAGTAATATTTTTCACATGAAAATAACTTATCAAAAAGGAAGAAAGCGACGAAGTGAAGTGGAAGTGAAAATAAACTTTCTTTCTAAAAGTAGATCAAAAGAGGTTCCATTTCTCTTTTTATGATTTAAAAAAAATATGTATTCCCCTTTTTTCTATTTTTTCACCCTAGCGGTGTTATTTTATCTTTTTACCTTTTTTATTAACAACAAATGCAAAAATCGCGGCCGCGATTCGCGACAAACGCAGATGCTAGCCCATTTATGCACTGAACTAACCATCTGTACTGGAAGCAATTTTCAGCTGAACAAAGAAACTGAAATGGAAAATTATAATATTACTTATTACACGATTGAAAATCGCGCAGCAAGCAGCAGTGGGTACATCCAGTGCGGGCTAGATTGCAATCTAGAACTAGAAAAACGCTCCTGGTATTACCGGAAGGTACTGTAATATAAGGCGTGAAAGGCAAGGACTTTTGCAGAAACAGCAACAACAACAGCTGGCATAACAGCAATAGCAGCAATAGCAGCAATAGCAGCAATAGCAGCAATAGCAGCAATAGCAGCAATAGCAATTAGTGTAAAAACAACAACCACAAAAGTTTACCTTCTTTGCCATTATCCTCCGCGCATACCCTTAAGGGTGTCGTGGGAAGAAAGAGGCGTCTTTCTGCTGCTAGCTGGAAGGTTTGGGTCAATAGTTCCCCTGTCTCCATCAAACCAGGTCTTGTAGTAAGTTCCCCTCTGGCTTTGTTGCCACTGAATTTTGTGATGTAGGCACTAGGCATGTTGTGCTGGGTGGTATATTGCTATTTGTGTAACATAGCCGAACCGCTTGATTCTTTGATGTTGGGTGAAATGTGCTCACCTTTTCTCTAATCTGCGGGGGTGGGGGGGGGGGGTTGTTTTTGTTGGTTTTTTGTTGGGGTTTTTTTTTCTTGTCTTTCTTGTTTCTTTGTTGTTGGGTTTTTTCCTTCTTTTTTCTCGTTTTTTTTCTTCAAATTTTGACTCACCCGGTCTTGTTCAGTTTTCCTAAAGCATTACGTTTCTCAAGTTCTTATTTTTGCTGAAACTGTAACTGTAATGTCTTGTTCATAGTCATGGTTCATGTTTGAGATGAAGATAGTCATTTTGGCTTTTAATTGTCTTCACACCATAATGTAGACGTAAGAAATGTTTCAGTGGTGGAGCAACTGACATTATTTTCTTTTTGTACCCTTTTTCCTTTTCTCTATTTAGTCGTCAATCTCTGAATACACTTCAAATGTATATTGTGCTTCAATTCTGCCTGTTATTGTTGATGTGTATGTATAGTATGTGATAAGAAATATTATGTGCATTAAAACTGTTTTGATTTCATACTGATCAGTTTTGGTTTACTTATTTTAATTATTTTCTTTCTTTTTTTTTTTTTTTTTGCTTTGACTTACAATTCCAACGCCCTTGTTCAACACAATCAAGATAAAGAGGAAACAGCATCCAGTCTACATGCTGTGTCTTCACCAGTCTACAAAATCTCTGAGCTTGTATCAGAAAAATTGTGAAAACTCTTGTAATTAAGCCCCTATGATAAAATCAGCTACACTACCTTGCTGAGAGATACCTTCAATGACATACAACAAAAACGAAGGGCATACAAACTAAAACAGGAGCTTTAGTACCACAATGACAACAGACATAAAATGACAAAAATCAAATAAACCAACAATAGACCTGAGCAAGTGTAAAGTTTTATTTGTCTTGATATCAAACATCACAGTTATTCTATTATCACATTTAATAAATCTATTTTTTTTAAAGAATAGGTTCAAACCAGGGTATCTGTAACATAATGTATGAGTACAGAATAAAGAGAATGATCACTCCAGTACACACATTTGGCATCAGGTGAAACGAAAGAAATTATAAAAATTTTCCCAAAATTTAAAAACAAAGGATAGCAAAGATCTCGAGGAGAAAAGGACTAAAGGTGGGGTCGGTGGAGGGGGGTTCAACTTATCATTATTACATGTCTAAAATTTTACCTCATATGAAGCTAGAGCTTACACAGGAGATGAAATGAGACAAACAATAACATGTATTAACATTTTGACAAAGTTGGAAAATACTTCTACTTTCTGATCATAGATTAAAAATGTCAAACATATTGAGCCACTTTGAAATGTGCTTTCCAAATTTGATGATACTCTTATATATAACAATTACATACAGATGTATATAAAAAGGCAACTGTTCAATTCCATAGAGTAATATCATTCTTCACACTGTCAAAGACCAAAATGCTATCCGATCAAAAGTAAATAGCGCTTTCATTCTCTTGGAAAAACACACAGAAGGCAAAACACACACAACCTTTAGGTTAGTATTGGACAAAATATTTACAGCCTACTTTCAATTTTCAGGCACATACACAGAGAGGCACATCCAATGACAGAAAAAACACAATAAATATAAATAAAAAGAGGGTAGGAATGATTCTCTCCTTTGTCTTTTGTTTAATTTAAGCTTTTCAAATTCTTAAACTTAAAGATTTGAAGATAAAGAGTATGGTTTTCAGTACCTTTCTTGTATGCAATTTCTCATTATATAATATCTTTCATGTAATTGTGTTTCCTCAAGAAAGAATTTTTTAAAGGCAGTCCATGAGGACAATAAAAAAAAATTATATATATGCATATGTATAACGTATCATTCCTCACTTCTGATTCTTCCACAAATGAAAAACAAGCATTTTATATCTTTACAAAAATGTAAATACAAAACAAACATACAGCTGTTTACTGTATCAGTTCAAAGCACAGATTGTGACCGGTGGGGAAGGAAGGCTAAAAGGTAAACATAAGTCCGAACTTCAATTTATATGAAAGTATGTGCAGGCACATCAAGGTCCACAAATGATTACGATGAAAAAGGCAGAGAAGTATGTGATAGGATAATGTAGATCGGAATTGAGAAGGGAAACATCAATCGTGATTATTAACATATTCCCTAATATTCGCATTGCAATGTTCACATGTAGCTCATGGAGGGCAACATATATATATATATATATATATATATATATATATATATATATATATATATATATATATATATATATATATATATATATACTCTCTCTTTTTAAATCTTCCTTATCCAAGGGACAATACATGATCTGTTGAGTATGACGAGATAATTTTAGCTCAGTACCCCAGGAAAATAAATATTACTTCAGATAGTATTTAAGAATAAAATGGAAAAATTCAATATTGATAGAGTATGTTGATACACTAACTTTATGTGTGTGTATTGTAGAGATAGTTATAACAAAGAATTACTGATATCAATGCTGATTCATGTTTATATCTCAAGACTTACAATTATATACTAAATTGAATACTGGTACCACTGACTCAATTTTAACCAAATTTCTTAATAAAGAATAGGATTTTGTACCAACATTAATGCTGCACGTTCTTATGAGTTGAGCAATGTTATCGTGCACAACAGTATATACTGTGAGGCCAGGTAAGTAATGCTGGGTCTGTTTCATATATCTTTCACATAATGTGCTTGAGAGCAAGTCATCCAATCAATAATGCTGTTTTGCACCTGACTAATACTGAAATTATCTGCTGTTCTCACATGGATCATATAATATCAAAAAAGACGAAAAGTGTTTTAAATTGGAAGTGCACTAAAGGGCAAATAGAAAATATATGTCTAAAAAAAAGGAAACTAAATTGTAACAGTAATGCTGAATTGTTCTTAAAATATAAACAAAAATATTTATCAGTAAAAAACACATCAGCTATCATGCTGATAAATCCTTTTGCCTGTCGATTCAAAACTGTATTACATTGGAATGGCTTCAACGCAGAGAATCCAAATTTCTTTCAGAGTATGATGAGCTTGAGTATATTGAAATAGTTCGTTGAGGCATTTTGCAGATGAGCAATACAACAATTCAGAATGATTGTAAACCTGAATACATTTTGATTAATCTTAATGTAATACTGAGACATCTAATGAATTGGAAAATAATATTCAAAATATAGTCTAGTAGGCTTTGCTTAAAATGTTGTCAAGAGGACGTGGATAAAAATCCCAGCCTATTTATCCACAAACAATTGTTATATTAGTTTCAGTTATTTTTTTCACTATGGTGCAGGAGATCTAAAACGGGATACGAAAATAATTTTATAACAGTTCTTTTTAAGCAAAGTCCACTTCCCATAGACTGTGGTAGTGATGTCCTAAAATCTAAAAGCTAGCTATGGTAACACGTTTCTACATTACATTTCTTTCTGTCTAAAACATGACACACAAACATTTGTTACAAAGTAAATCCTAATAAATGGATTTAATTTAAATACTGTTGGACATTTCTTCACCGTTATGAACTTAAAGTTATCCATAATGCATCATTATATATGGCGTAAAAGAATGTGCTTGTGAATTACATGGACTTTTTTGTACATTCAACAATAACACAAGACATCTTTTTAAAAGAACATAGACTGTTCTCAACATAAATGCAAAAATCTGGTGATTGACGTAATCATCAGCAATTTAGTAGATGTTGGACTCTGTGTGGATTTTAAAAAAGATCACTTAGCAAAACTCTTGACGATTTTGGTTTAACATTTGGTGCAAAAATACCCATATAAAATGCAGTGCTACATGAAGAGGCAGCTGTGTCATATGTATTGAATATTAACTTGGTACAGTAGTCTATTTACAAAAGTGTTTCTAAATTGTAGAAAATTGATACAAAATGACAGCTTGGCTTGCTGTACTTCTGATTCTTTTAAATGAATTATTGCTCTGTTTGTAAAGTAGGTAAAAAAATCAAGTTTCTCCATTAGCAAAATTCTTCGTCTTGAAACTAGGTGAACATTCGGAGCATATCCACCAACGCTTCTTACGAATTATTCACACAGTTGAAGTCTTTCCCATTGTTTGATTGTTGAGCATTTTTAAACATTTGTTATCAAGTAGTGAATATTATCTCTTCACTTTAAGAAAACAGAGAGACATTCTATTGCAGAGCACACCCTTTCCACCTAGCCACCAGAGTTAAAATAACTATGGCAAAAATGACTGAGCAAATGAATTTATGAATTCTCCACAAACCTTGATTTATATTCTTTTCCTAAAATAAGCATCTTTCATTAATAATATATACTTTAAACAGCATTTCATTCCCACAGAGGTTGTATATTTCAGATTTGAGTAGCTGCTACAACTCATGGTCTCGATCTCGGAATGAAATGGCATTAGCATTAAGAAATTATATCAAATATTTACTCTGCTTGACAGTATACCTGCTCAAAACTCTAAAAATAACCCTACAAAACTAACAGCTCAGCAATAGAGCAGATGTCAGAACTCTGTATCTAAACAGATAAATAAATATATTCAAAATGTTTCAACCACATGTGTATAGATATTTTTACAATGACACCTGCACGTAAGGGAAATTATTATATTCATGTTTCTAAGACACTTCACAGAGCTTCTCCTAGGGCCATAGGGTGAGCGCCAGCCCGAATCTGTTGCATCTGGATCTCATCGAGGACATTACGGAAGGCCTCAACACTGACAAAACCACAGGGGTGGTTTGCTGAAGCCACTCTGTAGGCATTCTCCATTTCTTCCCTAGTCATCCGAACACCAATGTTTGTGAAGATGGACCGAATCTGAAAAAGATAAATTTAGAGTTTTCAATATAGCAGAACAGTGTGTTCTGTTTCTACATATGGAGTTTGGCTGCAATCATTTTAAGAATGTAACAATTTCTGAAACTGCATTTTTTAAAGACTTTACTTTACTTTACTTTTCCGATCCAGTGGCCATTTGGGTTCTAGCCCTTCGGTCTGTCGATATGGCAAAAAATTTACCAGTTTTAATCAGCTGTGCTATTTTTTAAAGACCTAAGTTGTTTTTTTAAACAAGATGTTATGTAATTTTCATTCAGCTCATAATTTCACATCTGAACCTTGTCTTCTATTATCTATATGATCTGATAAAACAATGAGATTCATTAAACAAATGCTCCCAAAGCACTCTGAAGTCCTGTTCATATTATCAATATTAAACATTGTACAGGTTCTAGATGAGAACAGTTTTTGATGCTTAAACAATAGAGTTTAGAAGCACCATTCTTAACAGATCGTTTAAATTTCAAACAAACTGACTGTTCCATTATTTCAAACATATTATCCACTCTTCGCTGAAATTTATGCAACCTACAAAATGTTCCAATAATATCTCTCAAGTTCTTACTAACAAACCTCAAGGTATCATCTCATACAAAATCAGGTAAAATCAAAATTTTACTCGCTGCCTTTACCTCCTCTAAGCTTCTGGGCGTCAGAAGATCTCTTTCATGAACATTGTGTTGACTGTATATTGTTGGATTCATGAGCCCATAGGCAAAAGCCTCGTCCCCATAATTTTTCCGATCGTCGACACGTTTCACCCTGGGTGCTGGCAGATCTGACCGAATTGTGGGCACACCATATGTGCGGAACTCTGAAACATATAAAATTTTAACACCCTGGGTAAAGACCTCCGAAACTTATCATTAACAGATTTGACAGTGTTCTTAAAATGGATAGCTAATACCATGCTGAGGAAAAAACTATTCTATCTCCCAACTGGAAGCTATAATATACATCCTGTGCAGAGGTTTATACTAGTCAAGTAACTTACATCCGGCAAGGCTTTTAAATATATTATGAGTACCTTTGTAAGGAAAATCAAATGTTCTTAAAAAGTTGGCCATATTTGACTAAAGAAATATTTTAAAATTGCAAACCAATCCCTCTTCCCCGACTTGCAGAGTTTTAATTAACCCCCTCCCTCCTGAAATTCCCACCAAAAAAAATAAATAAATAAAATAATTGACTTACATGAAATACATAAGTCTAAAAGAATAAGTGAATAAATTAATGAATAATTAAATAACAAAAGTTTCCAAACATTAATATACATTAATACAAATATTAATTTGTCCATATGTGTCACGACGAGGTGGAATCAGGCGCTCGTCAATTTTTTGGCATATGGAGCTATTGGTATCATCTTAAAACCTGCCCATTTGCCTTGCTTTCAATAAAAACAATACCCATTTATTTTCGATACGAGTCAATATATTTGCAATTGAAGAAGGTGGGACTCCAGGCTTCAGAGGTAAAATTAGCGAGAAAATAGCCGCCAAAGTTTAGTTATTTCCTTAGCTTGAGAGCCTGCGGAAACTGAAAATTTACATCTTTTATGCATTTAATCAACGTTTTTCAGTAAAATCTACACTGAAATGCGTTTTTTTAAGGGCATGAAAGGTGTTCAGTCAAAAAACAAAAATTTGATAAAAATTCCCAAACCTGCCGAAAAAAGCCAGTTTCTTCACTTCCATTATTTTGACGAAAGCCCGATTTCACCACCCAGCCTCAAATATTCTTTTTCCCCTCTCTTTTTAACACTTACGCTGTGTGCTAATGCCTCCTGGTCCTACCACAGCGCTGTACATGCCATTGCTTGTACTGTGGTTACCCACACTGAAGTCAATCTGCTTCTCAACAGTTCTCGGAGTCACCTCACCGGACTGGGGAGTCTTGGGGACCAAGTCTTTCTCATCCACTAGCTTGGCAGGGGGTCTGTCTTTCATAAACTTCTGAGTGTATGAGTCAACTCCGATCATCATTGGTGGTGCTGGTGAAATGACACACACAAACATGAGGATAACTGCCTGATTTCAAAATGTTTGAGCATAACATCTTCCTTGCATATTTTGCAGTATACAAGAACGGAAAAAATATAAAGTAAGTAAGTTGAGTGTAGCAACCAATTGGATATTAAAAAAGTCACTCTGAACCCTCCCTCCCCCAAAATCCCTGATCTCATGGGACCTTTGCACCTGAACAACTTTACACCCACAGCTAGTTATACACAACCATACATTGAGACATAATGCTTTTCGGAACACAGTTGTGTGAAGACAGTTATATTCAAGAGTGCACTTCGGTCCAGTCAGCTACTTGACCAGGAGGTTACAGTAAAGAAAAGGTGTTCAAAATGGTTACTTTACTGCTGCTGTATACTCATAGAAGCCATAAAAAAAGAAGGACAAAAAAACCCTTATCAATAAAATTTTCAATCCTAAAACTTATGCTTGATACCATTTTTGCTACTTACGTCCAAGTTCTTCTAGGCCGGTGGGCATCTTTTCCTTCCAGTTCAAGAAGTTGGCGAACTCCAAATAGTTGATCATTCCATCCCTATCTGCATCACAATAGTCCAGAACTCTCTCCAAGATTTCGGTGTCAATAGGCAGCCGATATTTGATGCAAACTGTTCTGAGATTGTCAAGGGTGATCTTCCCTTTCCCTTCCTAGAAATATAAATGATGCATTTAGCAAACCAGAAGTAAAGAACAATACAAGTTCATTTATGCCACATAAGCTGGTACCGTCATTGCCATGAACCAGTCAGCAATCAAATTGTTCTGAAAAGGTGCATGTATTTATATAAAACTTTAATTTGGAAATGACACAACATAGTCATGACATTTCACAATCTACACATTACAAGCAATTCCTTTCGACAAAAAAGAGAAGCTGCAGTAACAAATTTTTTAAAAAGACAAGCCCAACAAATCAAACATATCAACTGCTTACTTGATCATAAAATCGGAAAGCCTCCAGTAGATTGTCAAAGTGGTGATAGTTGAGTTTCTTGAGCTGTTGCCTCATCGCAGCTACTATAGCTCTCTGGCTCTCCTTGCCCCGGAGGATGTTGTCCATCTTGCGGTTGTGGATTACATCTCCCGCTCCATAAGGATCTGGTTTGTGCAGAATGCCAAAGGTGTGGTCAGGAGGTACACGCAGTGTATCCTTGATCCTGGGAAAGAAGGAAAAGAGTCATGATTACCAAACCTTTGCTTCATTTGTGCATGAAAAGCGCAAATAGTTCAAAAAGAATTTGCTTAATAACATCAATAATCAAGTGGGTAGGGGTCTTTGATGTCAGCAAGGAGGTACGAGGTGTGGGTCTCTCCAACCGAAGTATTCTAGATTTATCTGGGTTAATTCAAGCACATGGATATTGTAGAACATGAGTGGGGGTTTTTTTCCTCTGATTTTACACCCTTTACTCTACTTTGGGTACCAAATAGTATCTAGTCTTCTTGGAAAAGCACAGAAAACAAAACAATGGGGTACACTTAGTACATGCTGAATACACTATAGTAGTACAAAGTTGATGAGGGCAGTGCTCGCAAAACCTTGAAGAAAATGAAGTCAGTGTCAGTGATAAGAAAGGCTTATATGGCTACCTTGAATGCGAGGGATGCTGCGGTGTACTTTTGAAAAAAAAATACAACTTCACATGTAAAAGTCAAGGTACATAGTTAAACCGAATTAAACTTCTCCAGAGATTTTCCAGCAAGTGAAGGCAAAAAATAAAAAAGAAGATAAATGTAGACACATGTTAAGATAACTTGAATTGAACCAAAATAACATATATAGGCCTACAAATTATGTACATAAAATACAAGTTACATACAAGCTAGATCACAATTCAATGTTTCTACTGCAATTATAACTACTTCAAAAAGATTTGTGCAAATAAGGGGAATATTTATCCTACTTGCATCACCTAAAAGCATCACACTTTCATGCCAAGGCTCATAGTCCTTTCATGCAAGGACATCATGTTACATTCAAATTGAAACAGGCATAAAAATATAAGTCTATGGTAGCTGCATGCAGGACAAATCTCACAAAATAATATACATTAAATTTAACTAAGATCAGGTGTTGATTTAAATAACAAAGAAGAGAGAAAGTCCATGATGAACTTACGGGTCATGCACTTGCCCAAGCTGAGGCTGCGACTTCTCACGGAAATCATCAAGTCTTTTACTGACAATCTTGGCAGCCTTGTCTCCTTGTGTCTCATGAATCCAAGTCAGAGTCTCTTTAGTGCGCTTGCCATCATTGCAGTGAGGGGTGGGCAATCCATAGCACTTCTGTATGGACAAGTATTTAAAGAATATGGTTACTGGTACATCATTGCAAGTAAGGCTTTCATTTGACAAAAAAAAAATTGTGTTTGTCATGTCCATATAAGGTCATGAAAAAAAAAGGATACTCTATAAAGGTATGTATTCAAAGTAGAATAGAAAAAAAAGAGACAACAGAAGATGGTGAATGCTTACTGATATATTTGAATTCATAAAACAAGAAAAAGTTCAAAAGAAAATTTGGTTAAAGGAAATATAAAACAATATAATGTAGTAACAAGAAATGAATTAAGTTGCAGTTACTGTCTCATCTACAATATTCATAGACAAGGATAAGAAGGTAAAATCAACAAAGTCATTTCCCAACCTTTAAGCAGAACATACACACATTTTATATGCACTTAGAGTATTTTTGTACTTCCAAAGAGTCACAAAACATTCCTACCTGAGGGTGAAAGTTTGGGCTGGTGTAGCTGCGACAGACACGTTCCAAAGGGTAGTAGTCAGCATGAGACTTAACATAAATCTCATGGCCCTCATGAGCCTCTTTGAAAACCCTTTCATAATTTTTGTTGGGGTTGATCAAACCTCCTGCTCCAATATCTGGTCAAAAGTAAGAGAAAAACTTCTCATAATGATTGCATCATTACACAACATTTCTCTAAATAGCATGACAGCAACAGTAACAAAATAAATGTACACTGTCTTGCACGAAGAAAAAAAAGTTCACCTCAAAATTCGAGGTGACAAGACCATAGAAAAACTGTTGATGAATAGGTTCACATAATACAAGTAAAGAATTCTTAGGCAATAACTTGGACAATAAAAATAAGCTGGTATCAGTGCTAAGTTGTGGTATAAGAATATCTATGCGTATGTGTGTAAGCATGTGTGTTAGTGTGTGCGTTAACTCTCCATCTCCGAGGGGGGTAAACCCATTATGTCGGGGCCCTTTTTTAGTACTAAATCTGAAAATGACGAAAACCGTCACTAAATTGATAAATTAAATCAAAACAAGTCAACCTATTTTGACAGCTCTTCATCTAATGAATAAAATCCTGATATCAGAGACCTGTTTTCGGCAATAGCCGAAAAATAATTTGACGTCAAAGTCAATATAAAGGAATGTGCCCGAGCCGCTGTCATTGGTTTACCTGCACAGGGGTTCCAACTCAACTGCAAGTCGCTGGTAGCGGCTTGCCGGAAATGAAGAGTTTAATGTGTGTGTGTGTGTGTGTGTTTGAGTGTGTATGTGTGTGTGTGTGTATGTGTGTGTGTGTGTGTGTGTGTGTGTGTGTGTG